GAGCCTCCAGCGTTCCCTCCCGTCGGCAAGAAGTTACTGCCCAAGGAGTAAAGTTTATGGAATGGGTTGTCAACAAGATGAACCTCAAAGAATGGCTTTAGGACGACAACAAGCGGCAGCTTGTAGCGGGCGCTTTACTCTTGGTTCTAGGTCACCCCAAGCCCACTTTTCTGTCCCTAGAGCTCTTGGGGACCCGACTGTCCTTAGGCACCAAAACAAATGTAGAAGACTGCTTCCCCGCTGCCAAGAGACTCCACAGAAAATTAAATTAAATTAAACACGCGCCCAGGGACTAAAGAAAATAGATATCCCCTCCTCTCTGCTGTAGCAAATCAACAGTTCTGCCCATAGGAGTGCAGCGAATCTAAAGAGATGGCCACCGACGCGCGTCCCCCCGAAGCGCAGCGGCTGGGGTCCAGGATGGCAAGGAATTACCGGCTTTCCTTTAATCCGGAAGCAGGTAATAAGAAGGATGCAAGAAAGTTCTGCATCTTTTTTCTTTTTTTAAAATAACAGCCACAATTGTATACCAAGCCAAGTCTTCAAAAGATTCCACGCAGAACGTAACTTAAAGTGAGCACAGCAGTGCTCTTAATTCCTTACGTAACACCATTTTTTGAAATACACTGAGAGAATCTGTTGGGGGAAGAAAGGGAGAGAGGAAGGGAGGGAGGGAAAGAGGGAGAAAGGGAGGAAGGAAAGAAGGAAGGAAGAAAGGAAGGGTAGAAATTAAAGATTGGTAACACCTAGGGTTATTTTATTAATGAAAGGAGAAATGATAATGGCTGTTTGGTCAGAAGCAGCAAAAATCAGCAGAAAAATTTAAAACTACAGTTTATTCAAAATACCTAGATCAAATCAATACCTCCTTGAAGCTATTTGTATGGGAAAAAATGAGTAAAATCTCTCTCTACTCTATCATAGGCAACCAAAGAATAGTCAAATCTATACGTTTTTCCCTGTACATTTCTTCCTTTAATTTACCAGCCAAAAAGATCATCTGTCCTTTGAGCTAATCCTCTGTAATAAATAAAATATTTATTTTAAATAAATTCCTCCACAAGCCTTCAGTAGCATTCCATTCAATAATTTCACCAAACGATGCATGGGGGAGATGAAAACATTGATGGTAGAACTATTGATCTGCTCACTCAGGAGTCTAGTCTCATCACCTGCTTGTCTCTAATGCTAAAATGCATTTTCTAGCCAAGGAAGCCCAGTGGGGATGCTATGCCAGGACTGGGATAAGAGGAGAGTGAAAAGAAGGCAAACCCATCCAGAAACTTTTTCCAGTATCAGTTAATACAGGAGAGTAACTCATCACATTAATTATAGCATAAAATCTTTTAGTTACTTGTCCAATCTCATCAAATCACAGCACCTAAGTGAAGGAGATCATCCAAAAGGAGAGGTGAGGAAAGGACCAGAAAAAAAGAACTCAGGATCAGGAAGAGAAAGTTTGGATTGAACCGGTCATTTTCTAAGGTTGCAACCCTTTCTGCTCTCTGGAGGATGGGCAGATACATGCTGCCCTGACCTCTGGGTCAACAACTAATTTGCCTCTACCTTGATCTGCAAGACTAGAAACTTGTCCTTTGGTTCAAACTGAGACCCTGACTATGGCTTCATCTGAGTGAGTCTCCAGCCATTGGTAAGAAGTGCTTTATCACAGGAAAGCAGGGGGGAAAAAAAATCACCATTTCGTACTTCATCGTCTATCCTTCCCAAAAAGGATATTTATCTCCAAAAGAGAACCCTAGCCACCCTGCAGAAAACTAATGTAGTAACCATCCAAAATGTAAAACCAAGCTAGAAGAGTGAGGAGGAGCTAAAGGTAGAAAGTGAAAGTTTGCATGGAACAGAAAATAATCGGTCCCTCTTCTACCATCCCAAAGAAATCTTCCAGACAATATCTCTTCTAGTCACAATCCACTTCTTAAATCAATTCTGCAGGTAGTGCAACTGAGATTATAAATGTACTGAGCAACTTTCCTCTTACCTGCCACTACATTTAACTCCTTCAGAACCGCTCTCTCCGAATCCCTCAGCACTGCAACTTTCAAGAAAAAAGAAACAACACTTAAACTGTGTTCTGCGTGTTATTCCTAGGGAGAGAGTGACAGAGAGAGAAACTATTTTATTTTTTTAATTACCATTATTTAGAGTGATTGTATACCAAAGAATCAGAGTTAACTTGTTTGTCTAAAACCACAAGAATTGGAAGCTTCAGATATCTCCATAGACAACAGAATTAAGGCTGTCTGCTAGTTGGCACCATCTGCATTCTATAATATATTTAACTGAAAACCGGATTGTTTCATTCCCCCAGAATTTATAATACTCCGAGTACTCTGCATATACATATGTTTCTAGGTACTATAATGACTTTACATAAATCTCAGGGGAAAATTGTCTGTTCAAGATGTATACCAAGACTGAACTTAAGGTGGAAAGAATACAAACAGAAAGAAAGAAGTTAAGCTTATTAGAATCTGAACACTAACTTTTTATTCAATTTGATTCAAAATAATATTAATCTAATAGTGAAATTGTTTGATATAACATCAATCAACATTTAAAGTATTTTGTTTCAAAGTATGGCTCAAGGAACACCCATTGCTTAAATGCACTTAGACATAACAAGACAATATTTTTTTATTGGCATCATTGACACCTTTGAACAATAGCCTAGTAGATAGATTAAGGTTTAACCTTCCTTTTCTTTGGTGTCTGTTTAGAGACTTTAAAAGAACAGATAACTCATTTCAACAGGAATCTACTACTGATATTTACCTCTACATAATCTTTAGCTAAGACACAGAATGCCAAAAACAAGCTTTTGTTAGCTTGACCTCCTCCATCTCCTAACAACAAAAGTTATTCCCAAACACATGTTTTTATTTTAGATGTACTGATCTTCCAATGTAAGGCTTGGCCTTTTAAATACTAAACCTACTCAATAGCCAACAACCTTCTGGAGACTGTGAAGGAAAATTTCTTTGAATTGTTTGGTGACTTAGTGCAAATTTTAAGAGGTCAATAAAATCCTGATGCTATGAGCTAAATCTACCGGTAAATAATTAATTACATTTCTTAGACACTATAATCTTTATCTTGGTAAACAGAGAAGACACAGCTTTGCCAAATAGATCTTTCCATCTAAGGAATATCTTAAAGGGAATTATTTAATATTTCCGCAAAAACAGGGTTATATTTAGTTTAAATTAGACATTTAAACTAAAGATAAAATGTAAATGTCCATAGTTTTAAAAAGGGGAAAAAATACAAATTAACTGGCCTAGTCTTTTATCTGAGTTTATTAATACCATTTAAAATATTACAAATAAATCAATTACATTTCATGCATTTAAAATGCAAGTCTAAAATGTTCCAGAGAAAGGCTTTTCATTTCAATGTGAAATATCCAAATTATTTCAACATTACAATGAGCAATTAGTTTGCAGAATCTGCAAACATTTAAATGTAGTGTCAGGAATGTTTATTAACAGTTAACAATATTACCTTCAGGAAATACACAAAGGCCAAAGTTAGTCGAGTTTCACTTGGACAATTTATTTAATACATGGGTTTTGGCAAGACCCACTTATTATGAAATATAGGAGAACTCTCACTTTTAACTATGCCTGAACTGCCAGCAAATGCAAATAAGTACATGCTCCATTAAATTAAATGTCATCCAACATTTATCAAATATTGTCTTAGTTACAGTTTGATACCTATCTAAATTCATATTCGAGCAAAACTAGGCCCCGAAAGTGCGTTTGTGGCTCTGCACCTCCAGAAATGAGTTCAAAAACCTGCAGCTCCTCAGAACCGCAACAATAACTCTTAATATTTTCTTGTGACAAAAAAAAAAAAAAAATCAAGTTTACTTCAATATATATTCAAATATTTACTGGAAGTAATGTACAAGAAAAATACTATACAAAATCGTCTCCTGGACAACTGTACCTCACACTCACACTGGTGGAGTTCTGTTTAATTGGTAACTAATCTAGAACGATTCTCCAGTTGTACAAACCATTAGGTTCAGATATATTTTACAAAGGTTTTGCTTTTTCTCTTATTTCCCTCTTTGGGCATTTAAACTACAGCCTCATCTGAAATAAATGATAGTTTCTTCACTTGTTTAGAAGTTTAAAACACACAAAAAAAGTTGAATCCTAAAATCTTCAGTGAATTGAAAAATTTACAGAAATGAGTACTATACAAATTGACGGCTGGACTAACAACAACAACAAAAAAGATCGGAAGATTATGCTCGGGAATTGTGAAAAAACGAGGTAGAAAAGGACAAACACGAAGATAGTTAATCTGGTCTCACCGGAAAGGGGTATTTTTGCATAAGAAAGACACCTACCCTCACCCCACCCCCACCCCATAAGTTAAGTTAATGCGATCAAAATAACTTTGGGATCAATATTAGCACAGTTTGAGAGAAAGACGTGCTTACAAGTTGAGGAAAAACTACTTAGAAAGGAAAAGAAGTGGAAGGTTGAATTTTTTTCCTTAGTTTTTCAGCTTTAAAAAAAAAATGTTATAAAGATGAAAGAAGGTGGTTGCTGCAGCGACTCTCCAAGACTGCCTGCCCTTTGCTGAAACTTGCAACGAATGGTTCCACCTCAGGGAACAAAGAAAATGGCAGAGCTGATGTTGGGAGAGCTAAACTTTGCAAACTCCAGGTCTAGGTGTTGCTTGACCGGCACCCCATCAAGCTTCAGCAGCGGCCCAGAAGGGCACTCCTCAGCTAAGGCTCCCAGGACTGCGGTCCAGGAACCGAGTCGGCGGGTCACACCGGAGGGCATGCCCTGCCTGGCCTCCTGCCTCTCCCTCCTCCACCAAGTGGTTCCCGCCGGTGGGGAGGCCCGCGGCCTCCATCAGATCTAACTCCAGAGGCCCCTGCCCTCTGAAAGTTATGCCAATCTGGGGAGGCAGGAGGAGGGAGCCAAGGAGGTGCGAATCGGGCTGCACACCGGGATCAGGCGGTGTCACCCGTGGAGGAGGGCCAGAGCAGGGCCTGGGACACGGATGCGTGTTACTTACATGTCCATATCCCTTTTACAAAGTTAAGTCCGAGGGAAGAGAGGGGGAGGAGGCAGAGGGACAGAGACCGAGAGAGCGAGCAGGGTGCAGTTGGAGAGAGCCTGGACGGAACCCAGGCCAGACATGGCCCGGCACGGACCCAGGTGGGAGGAGGTGGGGGGACAGGTGCGCGCGCCCGGGGCGCATCATTCCAGGCCGTTGCGGTGCCCGGGCTCCGGGGGTTGCAGCAGCTCTGGGGAGTGGCAAGGCGGGCTGCCCGCCGCGCTATGCTCGCTGTCGGTGTCGCTGCCCTTCTTGCCTCCGCTGCCGGAGCCCGCCGAGCCGCCGCCGCCGCCGCCACTGTGCGTCTTCACGTGCTTGCTGAGGTGGTCGCTGCGCATGAAGCGCTTGTTGCACACCGGACAGGCGAAGCGCTTCTCGCCGGTGTGGGTCCGCAGGTGCCGCTGCAGCTCGTCCGAGCGCGTGAAGCGCTTACCGCAGAAGAGCCAGTTGCACACGAAGGGCCGCTCGCCCGTGTGCCAGCGCAGGTGCGCCTTCAGATGCGACGTCTTGCCGTACACCTTGCCGCAGCCCGGGATGTGGCAGCTGTGCAGGCCCTTGCGTCGCAGGCTCGCCCCGGCGGGGCCCAGCCGCTCGGCCTCCTGGCAGTTGGGGCAGTCGCAGGTGGCGCGGCCCGAGTAGCGGCGCGCGGAGGAGCGCGGGGAGCCCCCGAGGGGCGCCGACGGCCCGGCGCTCAGCATGGAGCTCCCCGCGCCGGCCAGCGGCGATGGGGCCGAGTCGGGGTAGGAGCCGGGCAGCACCGGCTTGAAGCCGTCCATGAGATGCTGGCCCGCGGGGCTGAGCAGGTGCGACGAGGCACCGCTGCTGAAGGCCGAGTGACTGAGGCCCGAGTAATCCGAGTTGTAGCCTCCGAGCGGCGAGTGCAGCGACGTCTGGAGCCCCCCGGCGGCGGGGTGCAGCGAGCCGGGCAGCGCCGCCGCGCCGTTCGGGTTCTGCACGTCGATCCAGCCCGCGCCCACGTCCCACCAGCTGGACGCGCCGGCTGAGCCCACGTCGCCCGCGGCCCCCAGGCCCGGGTGCGAGGGCTTGAACCACGACTCATAGGGGTGCGCCATACCCACGCGCGGGTAGATGCCCTGCAGCCCGTCCACCGAGGTGTGCACCTTGGAGATGAAGACGGGCTGGTGCGATCCGTCCTGCGAGTGCGCCGACGAGCCTCCGCCTCCGCCGCCGCCGCCACCGCCGCTGCCCCCCGACACGCCGGGGGCCTGGAACACTGAGTAGTCGTTGGCGAAGGGCGAGCTGGAGGCGGCGGCCGCGGCGGCGGCGGCGGCGGCGGCGGCGCTGCTGGAGGTGAGGGAGAAGGCGCTGGAGCCCGGCGAGCCGCCGCAGCTGAAAGAGTCGGAGACCAGGGCCGCGGCCGCCGCCGCCGCCGCCGCGGCCGCCGCTGCCGCCGAGGACGAGCCGCCGTTCCTGGAAGCCCCCGACACACCGAAGCTGGAGAGACTGGAGCCTACTACGTTGCAGCTGCCGGAGGAGGAGGACGAGGAGCGTTTCCAGGGGTGGAAGCCTTTACCGAAGGAAGAAGAGCTGTCCGAGAGGGAGGAGGGAGACGGGCTGGGGCTGCCGATCTTATTACAGGTAGCAGCAAGCATGGCCAGAGGAGTGGATCCCAACCTCGGTTCTTCCTGCGACAAGGAGGAAAGGAGAAGGGTGGGGGAGGGGTGGTGGGCAAAGGGCCGGTGGGGGAGGGAGGAAAGAAACGTGCATTAGACCTCCGGTAGCCTCCCAAACGCCCCTCGGCACCCCATCTCTCGCTGCGGCGCGCCGCCGCCAACTCACCTGGCACCCCCAACAGCCCCGGCGCCCGGCTGCTTCCTACTCTACAGGAGGGGACAAGTTTGGCTGCCGGCGTCTGAATCGGGAGCAAAGCGCCACGCTAAAGAAGAGTTTGACAAGTATTCTCACCTAAAACAACACTCTTTTGCATACAAGGCCCCAGACACTTTGAAACAAACCAGCAAAAAGTCCAGATCGGGGAGGACAGAAGTTTCCTTGGGCGAGAAACCTGGGGAAAACCATTGGATTGCTTTTAAGAGTGCTTCCCCGGGGATCCAGAGAGAGCTTTGAAAATCCTGCTCCGGTTCCCCCCACCCCCAACCCATCCTGGGTGGTTTCTCCCAGGCCCAAAGAGATCAAACTGTCGGGCTACTCGCTCTTCCTGCTTTTCATTTTCTTTCTTTCTTTTTTTTTTAAGTACATCTACAATAGTGAAAAGACGAGTTCAACGTACCTGCAAGACAAGGCGGACTGAGGAATTTTTTAAGGGGAAAGGGGGATAATCTGCAGTATGCCCAGAGGAAAAAATTTGCTCTTTATCCCCGAAATCGTCGTATGTAAAACGGGCTGGGCGCAGGTCTCCCGGGCAGGGAGCAGCCAGGCGCTGAGAGGTGGCTTGTCTAAATGCCCTTCGAACCTTTTCCTGTGCTGAAAAAAGTGACTCGGGCCCCCTCTCCCCCTCTTTCTTTTCTCCAAACTCACTTGTATTTAAAGGGGGGAAAAAACGCTTTCAATAGAGAGACTGATAGCCCGTGGCCTGGCCGGGGCGACTTTAACCCCCTCCGATCAGTAATAAAAGGAAACTAATTAAACCAGCAAGAGAAAATCCTGAGACTCACCCCTAGAAGTGAAGTTGCCATCACACAAAAGTGCCCTCCTCCTCTCAGAGGATCTTTTTTATATTGATAAATCAGAGGCAGTGTTTTTTTTAGAGGTGTGCAATACAATGATCAGTTCCGCCCATTCCACCACAATTGTAGCTCCCTCTCTGGCTTTGAAGTGCCGCGGAGGCGCGGCCAGCCAATCTGCGGCCTCGCCGGGCCGCGCCGCGCGCGCGCCGTGAGGTCATCGGCGCCACCGCCGGCCGCGGCGGGAGGGGGGAGGGGGGAACCGGAGGGAGGGGGCAGGGGTGACTGCGAGTGTTACAAAGTGTGTGTGAGTGTGCAACAATGTAACTGCGCGAGTGTGAGCGATCAGAGGAGACGACAGTGCGGAGATGGGAGGGGGGTGTGATGGTGACAATGTGGTAAGGAAGGGAGGGGGAGAGGTAGTGCGGAAAAGGGGGAAGGTGTAATGTATGACAGTATAACTGCTTGTGCGACCCAGGGGGCTAGAGGGACAAGCAGTAAAGAGTACAAGGAAGAATGTGACGGTGCCATAATGTAACTGAGACTGACAAACCTGGGGAGGGAAGAGGGATAGTGAGGTAAAATAGGAGAGGTGGAGTGCAGTGTCTGGTGTGGATGAAGGAGGGGTGCGAGTGTGTGTGTGTGTGTGTGTGTGTGTGTGTGTGTGTGAGAGAGAGAGAGAGAGAAAAGAGGATGTATGAACGCTTGTGTGTGTGTCCCTGTGTGTCCGAGTGTGCGCGCACCAAAGCTGGGGGTGGGGAATAGGAACCCAAGTGTACGTGCGTAAGAAAGAGTGGCAACTTGAGTGAAACTGACTACAAAGTTGAGTGAGGCTAGGTAAATAAATATTCTCAAACGCTACCACTGTCACCAACTTGTTCTGATTCCTTGTACTTAAAATATTGAGTGATTTTTTCCCCCTTAACTTCTTGGACTCTGTTGCTACAGTTTTGAAGGAAATATTACTACTTACCTCTCTCTTCCTGGCTCTCCAGCCAAATAGCAGGAAGATAGCAAGGCTGGGGCGGGGGGGGGGTATTTTTAGGGGCGAGATGGGGCGTGTGTGCGCCTGCGCCCAAGAGTTTTTCCTTTGATGTGGTATCACTTTTTTCCTTTTTTTCTGAGGTGGGATTCTGCTTTGGAAGTGCACGTCTTACTGTAGGATAGGAGGTGTGTTTGTCCCGGACATTGAGTAAATTTCAATACAAAAGGACTATATAGGGAAGGTGGTTTTTTCTTTGGATGAGAAATTGAAGAGTCGTTTTTCACAGGAAACCCCTCTGCCTCTTTCTGAAGAGGAAAAACAAACAAACAAACAGATTTTGACTGACTCAATGGGTCCTATTTATGTAAGAATAAAGAGAGGCTTTTGACAAATCGTGGACCACATTTATAGCGGCATCTGTGGTTTGGACCACAGATCCACGAGTGTGCTCATGTTAATATGTACATTTAGTTACTTACTTGGAATTCGTATTATTAGTTGCCTTCACAAATATTGCAATTCCCTGTCACCACAACAGTCTTTTAAGTCATGGAACACCAGGGTAGCAAAAAATCCAGAGTCCTTTCCTTCCAGCCCTATTGACTATTCATATGCTTTTTTACAAAAATAGTAATTCATATTTTTAAGCAGTTACAAATGCTCCCGGATGTCTAATTTTAAGGCGGACTTGATTAAAATGTGACTAGCTGGGAGAGCTGTTTGTTTTGACTGGGGAAACATTTTATTGTTGTCCTCAAGTGTACCACAGCTTCTGAAGATGCCAAAAAATCCTCCTGGGGCTTACTGAACTCCAAAGTCAGGTTGCATCGTTTGTGTAAATTTCATTAAACAGAGTTGAGGTTGATGTTTGTGGTGTGAAAGTTTGTATTTCTGACCCCTTTTTAACATGTGAGGATATTGACTGTACATCATATCTATTGATTAAGGGGGTAAGGTACACTCATACTTTGAAGTAAGTGTGAAGTAAATTAATGAACTGCTTTCTTTCTCTGAAGGCTGACGCTTACCATAAATGTCGTGTTTCTCCCTGCACGCTGCTCTGAATGATTTTAGCGTGTTGAGAAGGCGTGACAGGACAGCCCAGAAGGAGGAAGGGGTGGGGGAAGGAGGGAACTCCGTTTAACAAATAAGAGAGAATTAACTTCATTGCTTTGGTCTCCTTCTATAATGATATTCATTTTAAGGACATAATATACAGTTGTTCAAATTTGGGGTTTAATTCTAAATAATACCGTCACCCTCAAAGGTGGAGAAAAAAAGGCTTTGAAGCAAAACTCATTCTTATGAATAGTTATTTTATCTTTTTATCCTCCTATCTTCTGGAAGGAAAAGAGGCAGGATGATTAAAAAGTTAAATGGTGATTCTGAGAGTAAGCAGAGGCGTTAACCACTGTTTCCTCAAAAATGCCAGGAATTAGAAAAACTCAGCATCAAATGACTGCAACTTTTCATTTGTATAAATTCACATTTTAGAATCATATGTCATTCTTCCTCTGACAACACAACGTTGGTGCGGATTTAATGAAAATTCTGTGTTCTATTTGCATTAGGTTGGTTGCAGCATTTGGGGATTTTCAAAGGTTTGTTATGTGCAGCTTTCTTCATTAGAATATATATATGTATATATTAGTGTGTGTCACTAATGTAATATATATATAAATACACACACACACACATGTATATATATATATATATATATTACATTTACTACCATTATAAAAGAGAGGTGTTTAATTCATAGTACTATTGGCCAGAGGACTTTTTTCTACTATTGTGTCATTCCCTCCTCCCCCCAAAAGAAGAAGTGGTCAGTGTTTGTGTTATAAGGTATAAAGCAGCAGACCTAAAAAGTAAAGCCAAAGAGAATTATGTAACTGGTCAAATATGAAAACAGTCATAATCTTGCTTCTAGTTTAAATGAAAATGGCCTTAATAGCAGTTCTTTCTCCACTTTGGAAGAGTGACCCCATCATGCTCAAATCCTGTCCCACAGGAAGGGGCAAATGTAGACCATGGCAGATATGGCTGACCATATCTGCAATCAAGGGCAGAGTTCAGTTTACCTTTTATAATATTGATCATCACTCTTGAATATTGTTTCGTGATGTTATGGACATTTGGTGGGGAAGGAGAAGAAAAATAGGAAGTAGAGGCTTCCTAACACCAATTAGGAGTTTCCTGCACCCCATATGAAGCTTAATGGGAGAGGGGTAGTTGCATATTCTGCTGTTTCTTGCAAACCTGTGGGATCCACTATCAATAAAGCTAAAATCTATTAGCATTCTGTATGCATCTGCAGCATAAATTTCATTTGAATTTCAAATTTAATAAACCAGGAGGTTTTTAATCATCCCTGGTTTTATTTGTTTGATATTAACATGCTTATTGACCGGGTCTGGTGACCAGTTTGATCATTACAGGACAGCAAAAAGTTAATTAAAACGACCACAGCCCCTTAATCATATCATCTGTCTCATCCATGTCGCTCTCTTTATTACCGGTGATGATGGATAGTCTTCCAGATTAATTTCTCTGTTTCTTCGATTTGGACAACAGCTTTTGGGACCTAATTTACATCCTGGGAACAACTTGCTCAAGTATATCTAACACCTTGCACCTACAACATACATCAACATCTCCTTAGGTGGAGCAGAGAGAGAGAGCTTTTCTGCAGGCGGGTTTGAAGACTAATCAATGCTCCGATCTGGAGCTCTTTTGCTTTCACAACCAAAGAAACAGAGGAGCCTAAAAGCAAATTAGAGGCCTCCATCCCTGCTTTTCCTTCTGTAGGGAAGGCGGAGTGAAAAGAAGTCTCTGTTGTTTTGGTTGCTAGATTAAAATGTGTAGATACAGCGACAAGTGAATAAAGTCATTTGTAACCATTAAATACAATTAGGGATATATAGAGGAAAACATCAAAGTTATCCAGGCTTTCAACTGTCCGGCGATATCAAATACAGTTTTGAAAGGAAGTGTGGTCCAGTACATACATGTCGCTTAAAACAAAAAAAAGCCTAATGGGGGGCAAAGCGCACGAACTGCAGTGCGTACCTCTGCTGGGTACGTGCAAACCGGCCGTTAACATCTCCGTTTCCGGAGCGTTGGCCATGACTCGTCAGCTCTGCAAGTGGACTGCGGCTGCCCGCCGCCGACCGAGTAAATGCAATACAAGCTGTGAGTCCCTGGCAGGCGCCTCTCCCTAGAGGAGAAGTAGGTCCCCAACCCCTCGCCACAGTGCGGAGACCTAGCGCGCGGACACTTTGGCTACTAACTAAAGCTTGAGAGGGATGGCCAGGGAGCCGAGCGCCGCCCGCGGCTGCCGGGAGGAGCAGGCTGAGCCAGGTCGGGGGGCGGGGAGGGGGGCAGGGGGTTCCTGGTCTGAAGCTCTCTAGTCAAACTTTCCTTTCTGTTGAAAAGAAAACCTGGCCAGGCGTGGACCTGTGGATTCCTGAGGGGTGCCCCTCTACGGTCCATCCTGCTTCGGGTGGCTTTACTAAGAAGTGGCCTGACATTTCCTGGGAAGGGAGGTAATAAAAGCCCCTCGCTGGTGGCAGATTGTTGAGCCGTAGGTGGGAAGAGATCAGTCGGCTAGAGCTCAGAAAGGGTTGTATTTTCCTGATTGGAAAATGGGAACTTCCACGGTGAACAATAGTCCCTATTAGTGAGGTTATTTGGTTTCAAACTGTCCGGCCACATTTACAGCCGAGTCCTTACTTTTCTGGTACTGCTTAATTGGATGCATTTGTTGACCACAGCGAAGCAACAGTGACTCTTGATCTGCGGGCCTTGCAGCTCCTTGTGGGTGCAAAGCAGTGCTCTGATGACTGAGTGAATGAGAGCGCATTTCCTTCCTTCCTTCCTTTTTCTCTTTCTTCCTTTCTTTTTCTTTCTTTCCTTCTTTCTCTTTTTCTTTTTCTTTCTTCTTTCACCCTCTTTCTTAATCGATTATTTTTTCTTCCATTTCACGTTAAAATTTGCTTTTTTTTTTTCCCTTCTCTGCCACTTCAAAACATTAAAGTTAGGGACAGTTTAATTAAAAGAGGTTTTTACCCATGTAGCCTAGAATATTATAAGCTTTGATTTCCTTTAAC